AGGTTGCAATCCCCAGTGCAATCACCTTTTACAATCACCATGTTGCAACCCCAATCTTTTTCCAATCCCCTTTTTGCAATCAGCGTGCAATCACCATGTTGCAATCAATCACCATGCTGCAACCATGTTGTAATCACCATGTTGCAATCACATGCTGAAATCACCATGTAATCACCATATTACAATCACCATGTTGCAATCACCATGTTGCGATCCCCCAGGGTGTACCTTTGTATCCCTGAACTTAGTAGGGTTTTGGATCTCATGAAAAAATAGCCACAGCATCCGCCTCTCTCCGACAATCCTAGGTAAACCCACAAACGTGCCGCCATGTGCATCCCTGCTGAAAAACTCGCCTCCCTACAACACACATCAACACATCAACCAGATAACTGGTGCAGCATATGGGCGCCTGGCAAACCTGAGAATAGCGTTCGGATACCTTAGTAAGGAATTGTTCAAGACACTGGACACTTTATACATCAGGCCCATACTGGAGTATGCAACACCAGTTTGGAACCCACACCTGGTCAAACACGTCAATATATTAGAGAAAGTGCAATGGTTTGCAACAAGGCTAGTTCCGGAGCTCAGGGGTATGTCCTACGATGAAAGGTTAAGGGAAATCGGACTGACGTCACTGGAGGACAGTAGGGTCAGGGGAGACATGATAACGACATACAAAGTACTGCGTGGAACAGATAATGTAGACCGGGGCAGGCTGTTCCACAGAGGAGACACAGAAACAAGGGCTCACAATTGGAAGCTGAAGACTCAGACGAGTCAGAGGGATGTTAGGAAGTATTTCTTCAGTCATAGAGTTGTCAGGAAGTGGAATAGCCTAGCAAGTGATGTAGTGGAGGCAGGAACCATACATAGCTTTAAGACGAGGTATGAGAAAGCTCTGGATGCAGAGAGAGGACCTACTAGCGATCAGTGAAGAGGAGGGGCTAGGAGCTGAGTATCGACCCCTGCAACCACAATTAGGTGAGTACACACACACACACACATTATAATATATATATATATTATATATATTATATATATATATTTTATTATATTATATATATATAATTACATATACACACACACACCACCACACACACACAAACAATGATCTCTGGCTGAAGGATACTCAAACCTACGAACCTTGGAACAAGGTACGCAGTGCGTTGTGGAGCGCTAAGGGCACGATGAGGCACTATGGGGCATCCTGGTCATCCACTGCATCCGATCCCATCTCCAGTCGTCTCGACTTTGTCTTGCTACTGGCCTCAGATGGCTCCGGACGAGAGAGGTCGACGCTGCGCAACTCTTCCTTACTTTAAACAAAGTACAGGCATGTCATCAGTCATCCATCATCAGTCACCATTCTCACCACACTGGACCAATACCTTGGCGTCCAGCTTGAGCTAGACGTTGATCCAAGGAAGCCAGCTTTCAGGGAGAATGGTAATGCACTGGTACCCTGTTTCCAAGGTTCGTAGGCTCGAGTCTCCTTCAGCCAGAGATCGTGTTTGTGTATATTTTGCCTGCTCTTGCGAATTCTTTGCATATATATATATATATATATATATATATATATATATATATATATACCCGTGGTAATATATTAGTACCTATGAAACTTCAGCAATGATGGTTTACGAAGTTATCTAAGGAATTCCAGGATGCTAGGGAGTTTCAATAGCTTTAATCACTCGTATCTGTAATTTGTTCCTGGTTACCGTACACATGTGTTGAATATTTGAAGGTGATTGGAAAACACTTTTTCCAATCACCTCAGTCATCAGTATAGCGACTAACACACGTTCTGTAAGCATCTCTTGAGTTCTTGTTGTGCATCTTGTGAAGGTAATGAAACCAGAAGGACGAAATTTGATGGATAAGTTACGGAATTACACTGTCGTGAAGCTAGCGTCTCAATGATATTACGCATCGGTGATTTCGCCCTCTTTGAGCCCTATTTTGGTCCAATTCCATTGTTCCAGTCAACTGAACTCAAAGCTATTTCGCTAGAACTACTTTATTTCTGTCGACTGAGTGCAAGAAACTGTCCTTTTACTTTTTTGAACTACCCAGTAAAGTGATCTGAAATTACTAAATTAGCCAATTTCACACACAAATCAAGAAAGGCCAGTTTCAAAACAAAGTCCAGCATAAACAATGCAAAATATTCCTGGCACTAAAATACAATCATCGCTAAACCAAAGTCATTACTACACTACAAAACAATCATCACTACAGTCATTACTGCGCAACAATCATCACTACACCACAATAATCATTACACTACAATCATTACTGCGCTTCAATCACTACACCACAATCATCACTACAATACAGTGTTGCGAATAAGAAATTTTATAAGGAACTTCAGAATGTGGTCAGTTACTATTTTCTTCATTGGCAACAAGATTTGGGATCAGAGTTAGTTAAAGGTATTTTTGAGTCTAGGGGAAATAATTTCAACTGGGAAACTCCATAGAATAATATTCAAATTTATTAAAGTATATAAATACAATACTTTATCTTTTCTCTGTATCTAATATTATATCTTAATACTTTGTACAATAAATTTACAATATACATAGTTCAAAATCATGGAAGTATCACCTTAATAAGGAAGATTAATTTTTCTTCCTGTAATTAAGTCTTCACTAATATTTACATCTTCGTCTTAACAAGACTGTGTAAACTCAAACTACAAAATGTACAAGATTCAACAAGACCTTTGAATCCGGCCGTAAAGGATGTAGAAAGCAAGAGTTTGTCTGAGAACATGTATCTCTATGGATTACTGAACTGACCAAGAATATAAATGTCAAAACAATCTTTCAGAGCAACGAGGAACAAACTGAGTCAGCTCTAGAGTAATTCTCAAACCCATTCAAACTGTACACCCTAAGAGAGAACCAATATACGATCAGTTGTCAAGGCTAGAACAGGGAGCGGACTGACTACCTGCCAGTCTGTTGACCCGTCGTCAGGTTGGATCACCTGACCCAAACGTCAGTCAGCCGGACATAAACAATTGAACAATTCACCGGATGGTTCCGAGACTTATGCTCTATATACATAATAATCCTACCTAACAACAACAACAATAATAATAATAATAATAATAATAATAAAATAGGGATAATACCATGGTATTTTTTATATATTTTAACATAATAATATAACGCCGAAAGTCTCTATTTTAGCTATAAACGGGGACTTTCGCGCTATAATATTAAGTGATGATCATATTCTCTTACAATAGTTAAATAACACAGGATGACCAATTTCCAAGATATAACAACAGTCAACACTAAACCACAATTATCGCTACACCACAATAATCACTACACTACAATCATCGCTATTTCAAAATCATTACTACACTACAGTCATTACAAAACAATCATCACCACACTACAATAATCATTACACTACAATCACTACACCACAATCACTACACCACAATAATAACATCACAATAATCACTACTCTACAATCATCACTACACTACAATAATCACCACACCATTATCATCACTACACAATCACTACATCACTACTATCGCTACACCACAATAATCACTACACAATAATCACTACACCACAATAATCACTACACCACAATCCTCATTACACTGTCAGTGGAACGCCTTCCAACTGAACAAAAGAAACTAATGGAAAAATAAATAAAGAAATGATTTAGGAAAAACAAGAAAAATGATTTTTGAGAATTTTACTTAAAATTTAAATATAATAAAAAAAAAATGGCCTTCAGTTCTTGTAGTTGGGTAGGAGTAGGTATGGCCCTGGATAGTTCCTCTGATGTTATTTATGTAGGTTATCTGGGCAGATGGTAATCCGATGTTCTGGAATCTCCTACCACTTGGATGGAACACAATTTAGAATAGGTAAGGGCCGGTAGTAGTAGAATAATGTTAATAAGTATTATTAACATGTCTTGCTCCTTTATCTGGCGTCTATCCTGGAAGACCACGCCAGGAACAGAGCTGGTAAATAAGAGAAAATAAACTGGTTACCCATAGTTATGATAA